TGGTTTATTGTGTGGGTATTCCTTTCTAATCCATGTACCTGCTATTCAGATTTTTGTGTGGCAAAGAAGAAGGTACCTATACTCCTGCAAGAGTTTTTCTCGTTCCAGTACCTCTATAAACCTTTGGCTTTTGCTGAAGGAAGTTATCTTTGTATCATGGAACAAATAAAGTAGAAATTAACTTTGAGGAAATATCTACATGAACATTTCTTCCCCATGCCTAATAATAACTAATAGTAATAACATAGTAACCCTAAAATTGAAGAAAACATATAATTTAGTTAAGTTGTATATATAAGGTTATAGTAATGGTAAATATTTCTCTGTCCAGTTGTGTCTGATTCTAGGGGGCAGTGTTCATCTCTGTTGCTTAGCTGAGGGAGCCTGCATTGCCTGAAGAGACTTCTGTGGTCATGTGGCCAGCATGAGCATACGCCAAAACACATGGAGCACTGTTACCTTCCCACTAAAGTGGCACCTATCTATCTATTTTCATTTTCATGCTTCCGAACTGCTAAATGGGCAAGAACTGGGGCAAGTAATGGGAGTTCACCTATAATGTGGCACTTTTCAGCTCAGCATCTTTAATAGCAGTACAATTATGTACCATAATTTAAAATGTAGCTCAAGTCACCATTGTTTTATTTATATATACCTTTTAGTATTTTCAACAGTAGAGTACCTGTCAGTGTTACTTTTTCTGTAGTAAATTTTCCATACATTCAGATTGACCCAAGAGGGCAAATTGTTTTTCAACATTTTCCAAAATACTTCAACATTCTGTCTTGGGTTGAGTACTCTTCAACAACTTCATAAATGATCTAGACAAGGGGATAGAAGGGGAATTCATAAAATTTGCAGATGTCCCTAAACTGGAGGGATTGATAACAGTTTGGAAGATAGACTAAAAATTCAGAAAGATCTTGACAGAACATGAGTATTGAGCCATATCCAATAAAATGCAGTTCAATGATGAGAAAAATAAAGTTCTGCAATTATAACCACATACATAAATATAAAATAACCATACCTGGCTCAACAGTAGTAAGTGTGAGAATGATCTAGATATCTTAGCAGATTCCACTTTGTGTGAGTGTCAAGCACTGTACTTCAACTTCCAAAAAAGCCAATGCAGTCCTGAACTGCATCAACATGGATAGTATTAAGATCATGAGAAGTAATAATATGGAGAAACCAGAAGCGTTGCGGCAAGACTGGCTAGAAATTAATGGGCTCATATGAGGCCGGAAAAATCCAGCCAGACAAACCACTTTCAGGGGGTCTTCGGACCGGAACCATCTTGTAGGGATGGTGAAGAAGGAGAGGCACTTCAGATGACCAAGAGGAACAGGTAAGTTCCTCATAAGGTCAGAGGTAGCTCTTCAATCCAGCGGCAGGGGCAGCAGCCATTAAAACTGACCGCTTTGAAGCTGGGGCAACTGGAATAAGATTTTGTGCAGGAACAGTGTTTGGACAGAGTACTGGTACTGGTGAATGATTGGCCAACTCACAGGTAAAAAAGGAAATTAAAAAAAAAAAAACCCACCTCTAAAAGATCCTGGTGAGGAAACAAGCAGCTAATTGGTACTTGGGAATTTTAATGAAGGGTGAAGAACAAAGAGGAAGTTAAAGTACTAAAGCCCAGAAAAGAAAATTTTATATTGGGATTTAAAATTGGATTTGGAGAAACTAAAACTAATATAAGAAAAGGAAACCCGAGGGAAAGTACTTTTTAATGAAGATTTGAAAGAATTTTGACAGTTTTGAAGTATGAAGGAAGAACAAAGGAGTTAAAATATTAAACTCCAAGAAAGGAAATTTTACAATTGGATTTAAAATTGACTTTGGAGAAATTAAAAACAATAAAAGGATAAAAGCAATTTGAGAGAAAGTATTTTCTATGTGGATTTAAAATACTTTTATAAACTGGATATTTTGTTGTTCTGAGAATTGTGGACTGGAGAGAGACATCTGCTAGTGGAAAAGAGCACTACAATGACTGCTCTGAGAATTCAAGGAAATTACAACAGTGACCTTGATCACCATAAGAGCTGTGGGAAATCTTAAGGAATATTTGTTTTGTCTTAAGCTGCTTGGTCTCAACTTCTAAAGGAGGTGGACAAACATCTGTACTAGATATTATCTGGAAATAAAAAAGAGACTATATGGACTAAAATTTTAATTAAATATATGTGGAAATACTAATAATTTTTTAAATTAATAATATGGAGTCTTGGATGGGTGAGGAATTAATTGAGATGCTTAAAAATGTGTGTGAATCAATAAAGGGCAATAAAAAGAAACTTTGTTAGAGCGCATAAAACAGGAAAAAGAGAATATAAATGAAAAACAATAGAATAATATTGAAGGAAAAAGAACTGAAGGCAGAAAGTTAGAAGATTACACTGGAATTTACAGTGGCAAAAAAGAATGGACAGGGGAGAATATTTTCTTTTAAAAAAAGCAATCTAAGGGAAGAGAAGGAAATGGGAAAAGATTAGGTAACAGCGGGGGCGAATTATGTGAGTGATGGACTCAAAAGTTAGAGAAAGGATTCAGGAGAAAAGATACAATAAATATAAAAATAAAAAAAGAAGAAGAAGATAAGAAAATGGGAAAAGAGAAAATCATTAAGAAGTGGAATTTTGGAGACACCTGGAGAAAATGGTTAAAAGGGGAAGAATAGTGGAAGAATAATGGAAAGGAGGTAGAAAAATAAGGTATATATTAGTAGATCTAAGGGAACTGTATTAATATTAGCAATTGTGAATGGAAAAAGTAAATATGATGATGTATATTGTTTATTGTAAAATGGAACAGCAGATGAAATATGAAGTGGTAATTAGGTTTAATTATGAAAATATTTGAAATTAAGATACAAAAAAGTATGATGGGGATTTTGAAATAATATGTTGTAAACGATGAAACAAAATAATTAATTGATGCTATAATAGAAGTCAGGAATTAAGGGTGGATAATTATATTGTTTATTATGTATTAAGAGGTAAGATTAGATGTGGAAGATCAATTAAGTTAAAGGGTTTCAATGTAAGAATTGAATAAAATGAAGTTTATTGTTTATAACAAAAAATTTGATGGGAATTATAAGAAATATATTTTATAAATGGAGAAATAAAATAATTAATTGAAGCAATGCTAAGAAATTAGGATTTGAAGGGCGGATAGTAATACCATGTATATATTAAGTATTAAGAAGAGATTAAGATAAGAGAAAAAATAGAGAAAAAAGAATATTATGGCAGAAAATGAAATATGTAAATTGTATCTGGAAAAAACAAAAAAGAAGATTGGAATAGATTATAAAAATCCATATATAATTATGTTATAAGTTGTAAAAAATGTGACCTGGTCAATACTCTTTTCATAAAATATATTTGTAAAAGAAAAAAATAATAAAACTTGTCTTTAAAAAAAGAACATTGTGCAATATTATTATTCAATGTGATAACTGGTAGTGGAGATTTGGAGGTAGCAATACAGTAATTAATAGCCAATTATGTTAATAAGCACACAGAAGTAAGTTTTGTTTTGTTTTGCTAATTATGTTAATGAGCCCACATTAAGCATTTTATTTTAGTATAGAAGATTCTTGAGGGAAAATAAAACAGATATTAGTCATATTCAGAATAGGAAGCTCTTTAACTGCAGAAAGCAGTTCCACTTCATGAGAATTAGTGGGACAGCATTTACTTTGTAAGATATTTAACACTCTTAAAAGCATACAACAGAACAAAATCCATGGAGAAAAATGGTCAGTTATAAATTGAAAATTCAACAAGAAAGATATTTTCCTCTTTTGGGTAGCAAATCATGAACTGATATCTCTGGACAGAAATAAAAGAAACAGATGCTAAGAATTTATAAATCTCTTTTATTACTCAGTTTTAAAAGTTTATTTAACTAGTGTACTTGAAAATGTGCTTACATGGTATTCCACACTTAAAAAAGAAATGCTGAGAAGTCAAGAGTTCATAGTTGTGATAGATTGTGCCACATTTCTGTCCAAACTACAGATAATATTGGCTTGTACTGGATAGGAGACTGCTTTTTCAAATTAAGATATCACTTTCCATTTTATTATTTGACAAGGGGATTTATTAATTTATTCTGCTAAAGTTTGATTTCTTTTGATTAAATATATTTTACAGTGAGATAATTGTGAATAATACCACCAAGTGAATATCAAAATACCAGTTATGTTATAAATAAAGTTCTATCTTCCTTCATTTAACAATGTATCATTAAATACTTGTTTAAGAATCTAGTATTTATGTATTAGTTTAATAGTTTTTATGGTATTTTTTTAGCCTAAAAGCTGCTGAAAAAATTGACATCTCTCTCTCTCTCTCTCTCTCTCACACACACACACACACACACACACACACACACACAGAGAGAGAGAGAGAGAGAGAGAGAGAGAGAGAGAGAGAGAGAGAGAGAGAGAGAGAGAGAGAGAAATAATACAAGAAGGAAATTTTTGCTCTAAATATTTCCATGTAAAAATATAGCAAATTACAGTATTTGTGTATTTATTGGCTAGCTTTACATTGCCTTTCTTCTAGAAGCCCAAAGCATCATTAAACATTCTCTAATTTTCCAACATTATCCTGTTTGAGTGGTTAGACATTACGGTGGGTCAAATTATCCCCAATAATTTTCCAATGATGAAAATGAATCTGAACAGGGCTTATCTTCTCCTAGAAATGCTTTTGATCACTACATGAAATAATAGACCTGGAAGGAAGAAAGAAGGGGAAAAAATGAAGTTGGTGGTTAGTACAGACAGATAGAAATTGACAAGAGTGTGCTCTAATATCTCCATTCTTCATCTATGTTTACCATGCTGTGAGCTTCTGTTCATTCTTTATGTTTCTTTATATTTTCTATTCTAATTACATATCAAAATACTATTTCCAAAATTGAATTTATCTCCCTCCTCTCTTTCCTTGCAGTTAAGTCAACTTTGTCATAAATGAAACATGAATAATGCAACTACAGTGTCTTATTTTCTGCTCCTGGAATTATCAAAAAATCAGCATCTGCAGCTTTTGTATTTCTTCTTCTTCTTTGTGTTATATCTGGCAACTCTAACAACAAATCTTCTCATCATCTCTGCAGTAGTTTTTGACCATCGCCTGCACAGCCCAATGTACTTCTTTCTAATGAATTTAGCTCTGCAGGACCTGGGCATTGTTTCAGTCATTGTTCCCAAATCCATGATAAATTGTCTCTTGGATACCAGACAGATCTCTTATTTTGGTTGTGTTGCTCAAGTCTTTCTCTTTCTGTCCTTTGAAGCCTCTGATGTCTCCCTCCTGACAGTCATGGCATATGATCGGTATGTTGCCATTTGCAATCCACTGCACTATGAGATAGTAATGACTTGGAAAGCCTGCATTGAAATAATCATTCTGGTGTGGGTTGCAGGTCTTCTCTGTGGAATCTTACATACAATTGGCACTTTTTCAGTACATTTTTGTTCTAATGTTGTCAACCAATTCTTCTGTGAAATTCCACAATTGATAAAACTATCCTGTTCTGGCTTCAATCTAGTTGAGATTGGAATTGTTGTGGCCAACATCATTGCTGCTCTAGGTTGTTTTAGTTTCATTTTCATATCTTATGCAGTGATCTTCAAGGCAGTATTGAGAATTCCATCTGAACAAGGAAGGCAGAAAGCGTTATCCACTTGTATTCCCCACTTTATAGTAGTGTCTGTGTTAATATTAAGTGTATGCTTTGCCTATCTAAGACCTCCCTCTAACAGTTCATCTGATTTGGATTTTGGATCAACTGTTGTGTATTCCCTTCTTCCACCCCTGTTCAATCCAATCATCTATAGCATGAGAAATAAGAATATCAAATGTGTCCTTTCTCAATTGTGGAGATTCTGAAAAAAAAAACTATTACTATTACTATAATATTACTATTTGTTCACCACAGTTTTTCATTTTCCTGGCCTTTCTTTTATGTTTCTGAATAAAGGAATCTGGTAGAAAGGGATAGTTGAGATGGAGGAAATCCAACTTCTTAAACCAGGAAAATACTTGAGCTTCATATGTTGCTTAGCAATCTTCCTGCATCTCTAATTACTGTCAATGCATTTTATAGATGCTAAATGTAGATCTTTAACAACACTGCTTTGACAACATTTTCAGAATGTGTTTACCGCTGCTTCCTGCCTTGCTGAGTGAGAGAGAGAGAGAGGCCCAAAGTCACTCACTTGGGTACAAATCAAAATCCCAGACACCTGGTTTCTAGCCTTCTTCTAATCAAACAAATTTTCAGATCTTTTACCCCGACTATTATTTTTTTCCTGTAGAAGTGCTTTGGCAAGACAAGATAACTGGCATGGTAGAAAAGTTGTGTGAGCTGATACTGTCTCACATAACCTTTTCAAATTACAAAAAAATGAAAAAAGCAAGAAATTAAATTAAAGTCATGCATAATTCTAATAGAACACCAAAAAAAAAAAAAAAAGCTTTCAGAAATCTTAGAATTTGATATAAATTGGAAAAGATAAGGCATGTTCCCTGATCTAATATTTGGAGAAATGAAGGTAGATAGATTTCATCGAAGGATGATATCTCACTGAAATGGGCTGGAGAAATTATGAGTTTCATCCAAGCTACTGATACCAAAAATCACCTTACTTTTTTTATGATATCTCTGCAAACACTCTCACAATATTTTTTAAAATGTATACAAGTGGAAGATTTACTATGTAATTTGGGGCTCAGTATAATTGTACCTGGAAAAGTGCTATATACTTATTGAAACACTTAGGCAACATGAGTAACTTTCTTTCATGAGGGTCTCGGCTCATCTAATCCACGTTTATGGAGAAATATGCTGAATCACCAAACAATAATATTGTTTATCTTCCTGCTCTCTTATTTCAAATGTCAATTTACTCATTTCAGCACAGTCCATCATTTTCTTAATAATTTCTTCATCAGTAGGTGTCCTTTCTCCTTTCCAATTTTTTGCAAATACAATTCTAGCTACTGTTAAAGGGTTCACAATTAAATATTGCAATTCTTTATTGTATGTCTCTGGTAAGATCCCTAATAAAAATATCTCTGGTTTAAAATCAATATGTCTCTTAGTCATTTTTTCCAACCACGTATTTATCTTCGTCCAATATCTCTTTGCATCTCTGCATGTCCACCATATGTGGTAATAGGATCCTGGAGTCTGATGACACTTCCAACATTTCTCCGATTTATTCTGGAATATTCTGGCTATCCTCGTCAGGGGTAAATGCCACTGGTAAATCATCTTATACAAATTCTCCTTATATACTGTAGACATTGTCATTTTATAATTATGTGACCACAATTTTTGCCATTTCTCTAAATCAATACCATAACCAACATTTCCCCCCCCCACGCTATCATAGATTCTTTAAATTGTTCTTCTTCCAGTTTTACTTCTAACAAATATCCATACAACTTTTTAATTGTATGATCATCAGAGCCCATTAAAATCTTGTCTAAATTATTCAAGATATTATAAAAACCTTGTTTGAGATCTTCTCAATATTTGAATATATGAAATATATTCTCAATATATGAAAATATTTGCATATATGAAAACCAGTGCATCTTATATCCCTGATTTTCTAATTCCTGCTTTAATTTAAGTTCACCCTTTTCATCCAACAATTCACTATACCTAATAATTTGTTCCCTTTTAAATATTACTGGATATGAAAAAGCTTCAATTGTAGATACCCAGATTGGAATCTTCAAATAATGATATTTTTTGACCTTCTCCCAATTCAACCATAAAGCTTCACGTATCTGATGTCTTCTAAAATACCCTGGTATTTTTGTGCCTTTGTACCATAAAAAGGCGTGCCAACCCATCAACAAATCATATTCCTCCAAATTCAATAATCTGGTATTTCTCAAATTTATCCATTCTTTAATCTACATAAAATGTGGAGTTTTTAAACATTTCTTTCAGTGAGACTTTTTCTTCTTTTCTCTCAGAAATTGAATTTTTTCTTATCTCTTTGATCCATTCATCTAACGAATAGTAAATAGCTACAAAGGGCATTGTAGCTAAGATGCGGGTTTAGCCCCCTCTGTCCAATCCTTTGCAGGGCATGCTTCTTAGAAATGCTATAGGTTTAGCAGCATTTTGGACTGTCCAAAAATAATGACTCAACTTTTCACATTCACAAAACCAGAATCAATTCAATTACTGAATTAACATCTTAAACAAAAATCTCTGGAATTGCAGTTCCATTGAGAGATTTCTATGGAAATTGTTTGCTTCTCCCAAAAGAAAGGCAATCTCCATTAAAAAAGCCAACATTAAAGTTCAATCTGTGTAGACTAATTGCAGATGAATCTATTCTCTGTGGCTTCTGCAGAATTTCTAAAGTCTTTAAGGAAAGGAGAATTTCATTTGGAAAACCATTTTCATAGTGGCTTTTATATATCTTATCTTGTCAGGCCTTTTAAATCATGGTTTATAATGAAACCCACCACTTGTGAGGGAGAGGAGATATGCTAGGAAAATGACATTATGGGTTTGATAATGACATTCCATTGTGATGGAATGCTAATGTTACTACAACCAAGGCTGTAAACATAGAATCTTATTCTGAATTTGAGGAGATCTCAGGTTCAATCCAAAATATTAACAAAATATTTTGTTAATAAAATATTAACAAGGAAGAAATGAGGTTGACCAGAACCAATAAAAACTGGGGAGCTGAAACCCTCTTGAGGTCATCAAGAGTTGTAGGAGATACAATCTAGCCATCCTAATAAATTTATTTATTTATTTATTTATTTATTTATTTATTTATTTATTTATTTATTTATTTAATTAATTTTTATACCGCTCCCTCTCCCAAAGGACTCAGGGCGGTGAACAGCCAAAATTAAAAAACATACAATATAAACATTAAAATACTATAAAAACAAAATTAAATTTATATTGGCTTCCCCCAATTTAAAACCCCTTACCCATAAAATTCAGCAATTAAAAGATTTTTAACCCAGCCCGGCTTGCTGAAATAAAAAAAGTCTTCAGAGCCTGGCAGAAGGTCCGGAGGTCCAGGATCAGTCATATCCCTGGGGGTAGCTCATTCCAGAGGGCGGGTGCCCCCACAGAGAAGGCCCTTCCCCAGGGGGTCACCAGCCGACATTGCCTGACCGACGGCACCCTGAGGAGGCCTTCTCTGTGGGAGCATATTGGCCGGTGGGAGGTTATCAGTGGCAGAAGGTAGTCAGTCTCGTAAATGAGACTGTCCTGGCGTGCGGAATTAGAGATTGGGATTATTTAGAAGTCAGAGGTGAAATAGTATCCCAAGGGATGAAACATACTTTAGGGAGGTCTTCTCGTATGATACAAGTTTCACCTCTCATAGTTTGCACTGCTGGTATGACTGTAGCACCTATTCTCTTAACAACAGTCTGAGATATTATTATGCAATGTGTTGTTATTATGCTACAGTGTTGTTAACAGCCAATTATGTTAATAAACACCCAGAAATACATTTTATTTTGATGTTATTTTACAAGACTCTTGAGAGAAACAAAACTGATATTAATATACATTCAGAATAGGAACAGTGAACTGAGTGCAGATAGTTGCTTTAATACATGAAAATTATGGGGATATTGTTTATTTAATATTTAATTTATTTAATACTCTTGAAAGCATATAATAGAAGAATCAATCTCTGGAAATAAATAGTAAGTTTTAGAAATTGTAAAGTTAACAGAAAATGCAGTTCCCTCTTTTCTGGAGTAAATTGGTATTTATTTAAATATATCTGACTTGTTATTCTCAGGCTTGGCTGTATAGCTTTTCCATTGGGAAAAGAATTGAATCAAATGATTGCATAAAATAGTGTTCGGATATAATGGAATAAGAAGCTAGAATTTTTTGGAAGAGATATTAAAGATTTTTTTAAGACTATTTTTACAAAATGTGGGCCTTAGAATATTTAAAGGTAAACATCAATCAGAATCTAATTTGGAGAAATTTCAATATAGATATTCATAGTAATTTTTTAGTTACAATAGGCATAAATTTAGATCAAACCGCTATGCATGTAAATGAATTTTGAAATATAATTAACTGAGTGATTGAACAGATCACTAATAAGTAAATTATCATGAACAAAGTAATTTTACAATCTCTCTGGAATGAATGAACAAAATGGATGGTAACATTTCTAAATGCCTTTTTTTCTTGTTTTATTTATGCATTTAAGTATTATTGTTGAACTCTAATACTTTATTTATAATTTGGGCACTAGCCGGTATCTCTTTTTCTTTCCACTGTTGGACGAACACTATTCTAGTTGCGACTAAAATATGTAGAGTGAGATACTTTTTTCTTACTCAGCCCCTCTGGGCGAATACCTAGTAAATATATCTCAGGTTTCCATTGGAGGTCCACATTAGTAATTTCCTTAATCCTATTCCTAATCCTTCTCCAATACCTCTTTGCCATTATACAAGTCCACCATTGATGGAAATACGTACCTCTGGTTTTCCCACATTTCCAACATAACTCTGATGCACCTGGAAACATTTTAGCAATTCTTGCTGGTGGAAGGGGCCACCTATACAACATTTTATATGCATTTTCCTTGAAAGATGTTGGCGTAGTCATTTTAATATTTCCCCCCCACATTTGTTGTCATTTTTCTAAAGGAATCGAGTACCCCAAATTCCTCTCCCAGGCAATCATAGTGTCTTTTACAACCTCCTCTCCTATCATTCGCTCAAGCAATTGTGCATACATTTTGGTTATGTATTTATGGTCCTCTCCCATTAATATTTTATCAAAACTCTGCTCCATCACATGTTCCATATTGTTGTAAAAATGCTGAGATGTTAGAGATCATAGTGGTAATAGATTG